CTCAATTCTTCACAGAGTTAGAAAAGGAAATTCTCAAATTCATATGGAATAACAAAAAACCCAGGATAGCGAAAACTATTCTCAACAATAAAAGAACTTCTGGAGGAATCAACATTCCTGACTTCAAGCTGTACTACAAAGCACTAGTGATAAAAACTACCTGGTATTGGTACAGAGACAGGCAGGAAGATCAATGGAATAGAATTGAAGACCCAGAAATGAACCCACACTCCTATGGTCACTTGATCTTTGACAAAGGAGCTAAAACTGTCCAGTGGAAAAAGGACAGCATTTTCAACAAATGGTGCTGGTTCAACTGGAGGACAACATGTAGAAGAATGAAAATTGATCCATTCTTATCCCCTTGTACAAAGCTCAAGTCTAAGTGGATAAAGGACCTCCACATAAAACCAGATACACTGAAACTAATAGAAGGGAAGGTGGGGAAGACCCTCGAATACTTGGGCACAGGGGAAAAGTTCCTGAACAGAACACCAATGGCATATGCTCTAAGATCAAGAATTGACAAATGGGACTTCATAAAATTGCAAAGTTTCTGTAAGGCAAAGGACACGGTCAATAGGACAAAACGACAACCAACACATTGGGAAAAGATCTTTACCAATCCTACGTCTGATAGAGGGCTAATATCCAATATATACAAAGAACTCAAGAAAGTAGATTCCAGACAACCAAATTAGCCTATTAAAAAATGGGGTATAGAGCTTAACAAAGAATTTTCAACGGAAGAAACTCGAATGGCCAAGAAGCACCTAAAGAAATGTTCAGTGTCCTTAGTCATCAGGGAAATGCAAATCAAAACAACTCTGAGATTCCATCTCACACCAGTCAGAATGGCTAAGATTAAGAACTCTGGTGATAGTAGATCCACGGAGAAGGAGGAGGACGGGTAAGGGGATGGGGGGTTCCCGGGTGGGTGGGAGATGGTGTAAGGGGATAACATATGAAATGTAAATAAAATATCTAATAAAAAAAATGTTTTAAAAAAAAACCCACCATGTGGGAATTCTGGAACTGGAAATGTAAGCACTTTAAAAACGGACTACAGAGGCAAAAGTTAATATAAGAAACAAGATGGAAGAAAGATTCTCCAGTGTTTAATAAGAAATACAATAAATTGAGAAATCAGGCAAAGAAAATGATAAATCTAAAACAATTTCTTACATAAAGCATCCAGGAAATCTGGAACACTAAGAAAAATGAAACCTAAAAATCACAAGGGTAGAGGGGAAAGAAGAAACCCAACTCAAAGTCCTAGAAAATGTTTGCAACAAAATCATAGAAGAAAATTTTCCTAAACTAACGAAGTTTCTTTAAAAAGAACAAGAGGCATACAGATACCAAAAGGAAAGTCTCCTTGGCACTAAACATATAGAACAAAGAAGGAATATCAATAGTAACACTGGGAAAAGACCTAGTAACATATAAAGGCAGACCTATTAGAATTAAACTTTACTTTTCAATATACAACTTTAAAAGCCAGAGCACTTGGACATATGTACTGAAAACTGCAAAAGTTGACAGCTGATAATACTATACCCATCAAATTTATATTGTGATTGAAATTATCACATTAGAGAAAATGAGATATTGCATGATAACTTCAAATTTAAACAGCTGTATACCAATCCAGCACAACAGAATGTGCTAGTAGGAATACTCCAATCCAAGGAGGTTAACTACACTCATGAAATACAGGCATAAAAATTGGAACTAAACCAAAGAATCTTCAGGTCTCAGATGATATCATACTATATATACACCACCCTAAAAGTTCAACTGTTATCTCCTACACCTTATAAATACTTTTAGCAAAGTAGTTGCATGAGAAAATAACTCATAAATCAGTATCTGTTCTATATACAAATGATAAATGGACATAGAAAGAAACTAGAAAAAAAACTTCTTTCACAATAGCTTCAGTATAAATGAAATATTTGGATTAATTCTAGTCAAGCAAATAGGAGACTTGTATAATAAAAGTCTCAAGTCTTTGGAAAAATATTAGATCAAAAGATCTTCTATGCTCATGATAACCTAGCATAAATGATCATCCTAGTAAAAACACTTTACAAATAAGAGTGCAATCCCCATCAAAATTCCAGCACAATTCTTTACATATTTGAATGACAGTTTTCTGATACATGTAGAAACACCCATCCACAGACACATCCAGGCACAAACAGGATGTCTCAAAGAATTAAAGAGCTGCTATTGGTATTACAATTTCCAATTTCAACGTGCACTACAGATCATTAGGAATAAAAGCCAAGTGGCATTGGCATTAAAAAAACACAGACAAATTGCTCAATGGAATTAAACTGAAGACCAAGACTTAAATCTACATTTCTGTGGATACCTGATTTGTGATAAAGCAGCAAGAAACACAAACAGGAAATAAGGTAGCATTTTCAATAAATGGTGGTGCATGAACTGGATGTTTGCATATAAAAGAGTGCAAATACTTCCATATATGTCAGTCTGCGCACAACACAACTCCCAATGGATGAAAGACTTTAAAACATAAAACCATTCACACTGAACCTGATAAACGAGGAAGGGAAATCAGGAATCTTCTTGCACTCATTGGCACAAGTGAAGACTTATTGAAATGAATAAAGATAGCCTGGGTGCCAAGACCAACAGTTAATAAATAGGATTTCATGAAAATGAAATCTTCTGAAAACCAAAGGACACCATCATTGGGATAAACAACGGCCTACAGAATAGGAAAAGATTTGATCTTCACAACCTATAGAGGAATAAAATTTAAAATGTATAATGAACTCAAGAAACTCTCCAAAGCCAAATGATTCTATGGGTTTCAGATACACACATAAAAGTTTCTGTAGAAGAAAGTCTAATGGCAGGGAAACCATGAAATGTTCACTATCCTTAGCCATCAGAGAAATGCAAATCAAAATGACTTTGATATTCTATTTTATTCCTGTCAGAATGTCTAAGATCAATAACACAAGTGACAGGTCATGCTGGGAATGATGTGGAATAAGGGAAACACTTCTCCATTGCTGGTGGGATTATAAAGCTGTACTGGTGTTATGGAAATGAATATAGCAGTTTCTTAGAAATGATGGGGAATCAATCTACTTCCAGATGCAGCTATACCACCTTGAGCGTATACCCAAAGGATGTTTCAACCTATAATAACATGCTCAGGCATGTTCATCATGGCATTATTCATAATAACCAGAAACAATAAACAACTTATTTCTCAAGTGAAAAGTAGACAAAGAAAATTAGTTCCTTTTACCTAATAGAGTATTAACATTTGTTTAAAAAATGACAACATTGCAGCTAGAGAGTTAGCTCAGTAATTAAGAGCACTCACTGTACTTCTGAATGTCCTGAGTTCAATTCCCAACACCCATATGGCAGCTCACAACTGTCTGATGCTGCCCTCTGGTATGCTGATGTACATGCAGACAAGTACCCATATGCATGAAATACATACATAAATACATCTTTAAATATAACATCATGAAATTTTCAAGCAAATGGACTGAAGTAAATGAAATTGTTGAGTGAGATAACCCAGATCCAGAAAAATAAATGTGGTATATATTTATATGTATGTGGATATAAGTCATTGAATATATGATAACTTACCTACAACCTGTATACCCCAAAACATTGTCTTAGGATTACTATTGCTATGAAGAGACACTGTGACCACAGCAACTCTTATAAAAGAAAACATATAGTTGGGGCTGTCATACAGTTCAGAGGTTTAGTATCCACTGTCAGTATGGTGGGAAGTAGGACTTCAAGGAAGCAGCATCCAGACAGGGTTCTGGAGCAGTAGCTGAGCATTCTGCATCTTAATCAGCAGGCAGTGAGAAGAGAGAGTGACAATGGATCTGGCTTAAACATCTAAAACATGAAAGCTCAACCCCAGTGACACACTTTCTCCATCAATGCCACTTAAACTCCAACACGGCATATGGCCTCCTAAGAGTGCCACTAGCTATGAACCTATGGGAACTGCTATTGTTCAAACCACCACAGAGGTTATGTATAGAGGAAGGCTCTAAGAGAGGTGGGGGAACACATGGATCACCCTGCGAGCTGAATGTACAACAGGTTTTGTCAATGGGAAGGGGGCTGGTGGGGATGTGAAAATAAGGATCAGATGTGGACAAGGAGGCAGGAAGTACAGGGAAAATCAGCTGGAACTGAAGGGCATGAGAGAGAGAGAGAGAGAGAGAGAGAGAGAGAGAGAGAGAGAGAGAGATTGGAACACACAACTCTAAATAGGATATTATGAACAAATCCCTCCCGTTAGAGCTCTAGGAACTCCCAGGAAGAGGAAGCAGAAGGAATGTAAGAACCAGAAGGCACAAAGACAAGAAAGGTCCCCTATATCGACTTAAAAAGTTCTTGTGAATTCACAGACACTGAAATAGTAAGCACAGAGCCTATATGGGTCTCTACCAGGTTTTCTGCGCATATTGTATCTTTCAGCTTATTATTTTTATGGGATTTTTGAGAGTGGGAAAGTTTTGGTCTCTGATTCTTGAGCCTGCACTTTGTCCTTCTGTTGGGTTGCCTTGTCCAGCATCAGTGCAATGGATTTCTCTTTTAGCTTATATTTTATTTTGGGATGCCTGCTTTTTATCTGTTAGAAGCCTATTCTTTTCTAATAAGAGGTAGGAAGGAGATGCATCTGGAGGTGAGGGTATGTGGGGAAATGGAACGGTAGAGGAAACGACAAATATTCAGTATATATTTTATGAGATGAAGAAAAAATTTCCACAGTATTTTAGGTGTTAACAAAACTGTACGTTTCATAATATCTTCAGCAATCTTAACACAAATAGCAGTTTTATTTACCAATTGAAAATTGTATGACAATATGAAGCATATCTTAAGTGCAGCTATTCACAATCATTGTTTTAAAATTATCAATATGATATTCCATTGACAAAGAGGAAGCAAACAATTCTTACCCAATGAAGAAATCATTTAATTTCTTTTACTACTCTTTCTAATTGCTCTTGTTTTTTCTTTTCATGTTTTGTTTTTCCACCATTTACAGGTGTATCCAGACTTTTAGTCTTTCCATTTACCGTGTAATCATGTCTGAAAATTCCATAAAGACAAAGCAAGAATGCGGATACTTGCATGCTAATCCCTGAAATTAAGACAACATAAATAGTAGAAGTGTAACTATATAATATTTAACAATTTTTAATGAAAAAAAAGTAATTTACTCAAATAAAACCTAAGTTTCCTTCTGAAGGTATTAATTCCCCTTTTATAAAATATTAAAATTTTATGACAAATTGTGTATTTTAAAATGTTTGCTAAGTTTTTCAGGCTTATCAGATAGCTTCCGAAAAATAATACTCCAAGAATTACTAAACTATGTTAATTTGCAAGTACATAAATTTTATTTCAAAATTTGACTATCAATAAGAACTGAGACTTGCATTAAGTTCTATGTAGCTTAATTGATTGAAATATTGTTCACACATAAATACTAATAATTATTTTATACCTTTAATTTTGTCTCAAATTTTTAAAAAAATATAAATATTACATAAAAGTAATTAAGCTTCAAAAGAAAAACACCCTGTTAAGTCCAAATGTTGTAGCAAATCTATACCAGTTACTAATACAGCCACTTCAAACAACAAAAAATATTAAGAAGTCTTTTCCATTTCTAGACTATGGCATCTGTTTTAAGAGATATCATCTCAAAGACATAGTCACCTGTGATAGACAAGTAATATATCCATGAAAATTATAAGGAGTGAATGACTGTAATCAACATTTGGAAGCAAAAAATTTCAGAAAAGAATGAGAAATTATTAAAAATAAACCTAGAAGCTCTTCCAAGAAGAGTGGTGTGCTAGTAAAAAAAGTATCTGACAACAGGGGCAAAACATCTAGACAATACACTAAATGTTTCCATGCTTGATAACTAAAGAAATGAGGAATTAACATCCAAAGGAAGGGAGAACTTCATGACAGTTACATGGAATACATTTTCCACAGCAAATGGGGGCAACAGGTGGAAAACCACACATTCACAGAAGAAGGACCTGTGAGAGAACAGAGCATCCTGCTGTATTCTTAAAAAGACTGACCTGGAGTGATTGCATAGAACATAGTGCAAAGAAGTACCAAAACATCTGCTTAATATTGACAGGGCAATATTCAAACAACCAAACAGAAATGATATGCAGTAGGCATTACTTGCTGGTTTTATTCAGAATTTAGGCTAAAATTTTATAGCCTGGTCAGGAAAGAGTAAAACCATGTTTTCAAGAACAAAACATAAGTAAGCACTCGCTAGTGAAATTAGTGTGACACTGTAGGAGTGCACAGTTGTGGAACAGAACAATGAAGAAAGGCCTACAAGAAATTCCAGAACTTTTTAAAGATGCCCTTGGCACCAGAAATCAACTCCTGCTCAGGGAAACTTTCTCTCCTTGCTGCCAAGTGAGAACTATAACAATAGCCATGGCTGAGTCTTCAGTATCACAACTCATATTGACAGCAGATCTTACTAAGTGGACTAAGTTGTCCAGCGAAGCAAAATCAAGTGCTGTGGGGGTTCTGACAACTTCAAAAATTTCTCATGGGAAGTTCTGACGACCATACCAAAATGTGCTACTAGGTTCAAGCCTATACAGAATAGGCTAACAGGGCTATGTCAAGTTGAGTTTTGGAAATTGACCTGCAAAGTGGACAATAGACAAGCAGAGTAGTAAAACATACTCTACTGCATCAGATAAAGTTATAGATAATTTGCAAAGCCAGAGCAAAATAAAAATTCTGGGTCCTAAAGGATTACCAACATCACAGGTCAAATGAGGGGCCACCCAGCATTACAATGTTTATATAATATCAGATTTGGAGCTTTAAGATTCTGTATCTTCCATGCTGGACTTTTTAGTCTTTGTTCTGGCTTCGGGACTCCTCTCTGCCTCCTGAAATCTTCCTTTGGACTACTGATGTTTATCCTGTGTTTGTCACCCTCCTAATTTGTAGACATGTAACTTTTTAACACCTCAGCTCATATCTGAAAGTGTCCTAGTTAAACCTGAGGATTTAATATTTTCAGAGATATTTCAGGGTCTTTGGCACTGTGAGGATGGGATTATTATATTTTATATTATGAGAGGATCATAGATCTTGGAGGCCAGGGATAGATTGCTATAGATTGGATATTTATGCATTGGAAGCTTTTCTGTATTGAATTAATAAACTGGTGATGAGTCTTATTAGAGGTAGGGCACAGTAAGTGACTCATAGAGAATACTACAGATTTGGATTTTACAACGCATTGACCTTGATTTTTTCCCATTGTAGGACAAAGCCTAAGCTCTGGATTTTTAGCTTCCTGTCTCACAGTGTGGTTGTTCTATGACAGACAGGTCCCAGACATTATGTTGAGGATGATGATCTGATGCAGCAGATATTATAATCTTATTTGAAATATGAAACTCCCAGACTATGGACTATATAAACTTCATTATAAAATACCAAGATCAGCTATATTTACAGCAATTTAAAATGTAATAATAATATACATAATATATATCTGATTTATATTTATTCATATTTTCCATATTGAAAGTATTTATTCATATTTTCAAAAGAGACTTTTTTCCTTCTTTTGAGATCAGAATAGTGTCTGACATGTAATGTTGTATGGTCATTATTGATTCATCACTTAGTGAGATTACATTGTGTTTTTTTTGGTACTTCGAAATGGTGACCAAAACCTCCTATAGCTTTTTGTCCCTAACTCTTATTCTCTTTGCTTTGGGTTTGCTTGAAGTATTAATTTGAAATGACTTTCCTCCAGACTTACCTGATTGTTTTCGTGCTTGTTTGAGTCAGCCACTAAAATTATACTTTATTATTTCAGCCCCTGTGTTATTAGTTTCTAATTTCTAATTTGTAATTGTTTTCTGATTTTTTATTTCTGTTGAATTTAAAATCTTTTTCATATTCTCTTTTCTGATTGCATTCTCTTGTTTATGTCTATACAGTAGATATATCCTAGTGGAGAATATTCCAAAGTGTACACAGCACTAACTACACACATTAGCACAAACCTGCACACATGCAACATTACTTTCTGTTTCAACATGTTTATATCAGTTCAATTAAATCACATTCATTATTCACGTCATTTATGTACACATATTTTATCAAATTTAAGCATTCACCTTGTGTAGGGCCCATCATTCTTGAACTCTTAGATAAAGTATCTGAATTAGTATAATTCTCTTTTTCTGTCACTCTTAACAGATATGTTGTCAGTTTGATCCAATATTTGTTTCATGAAGTTCCTATATTTATTTGCACTTTATTTAAAAGAACCATTCAGTGATACCTCTCAAGCATTACTAGACACCAATAGTCTCATACTTTGGAGATTTTTCAATAAGTTAATATGGTATAATATATGTCTTTTCTAACCAAAAATGAAGACACTTCCAAGTTTAATCTTCAGAGAGAGAGAGACTAGTTATTTGATCATGTTATTTACAACTTCTGTTAGTTTGAATTTTATTTTTTTTTGTGAAGAGGCACTGTGACCATGGCAACACTTATAAAGGAAAACATTTTATTTGGGCTGGCTTACATTTTCAGAATATTAGTTCATGATTATCATGGTGGGAAGTATGACTGCATGCAAGCAGAGATGGTCATGTGGATGGAGCTGAGCATTGTACATTATGATCCACATTCATAAGAAGTAAAATCTGTGCCACAATGAAGATAGCTCAAGCATAGAAGACCTAAAAGCCCAACTCCACAGAGACTCATTTCTTCCAGCAAGGCCACACTTCCTAATAGTGCCACTTCCTATGGGTCAAGCACTCAAACACATGGGTCTATTGGGACCATACCACTACATTTTAATTCCTAGCCTCAATAGGCTTGTAGTTCAATTATAATGCACAAATATATTCAGTCTAAATTCTTGTGTCCAAGTATTCAAGGTTCTTCCTTACCTTCTCTTCTATTAGTTTCAGTGTCTCTTGTTTTACATGAAGGTCCTTTATCTACTTGGACTTGAGCTTTGTACAAGGAGATAAGAATGGATCAATTTGCATTCTTCTACATGTTTACTTCCAGTTGAACCAGCACCATTTGTTGAAAATGCTGTCCTTTTTCCACTGGCTAGTTTTAGCTCTTTTGTCAAAGATCAAGTGACCATAGGTGTGTGGGTTCATTTCTGGGTCTTCAATTCTATTCCATTGATCTTCCTGCCTGTCTCTGTACCAATACCATGGAGTTTTTATGACTATTGCTCTGTAGTACAGCTTGAGGTCAGAGATGGTGATTCCTCTAGAAGTTCTTTTATTGTTGAGAATAGTTTTCCTTATCCAAATTCTTAAGTCCCTATAGTCTACCACAGTGTCAACACTGTTTAAAATCCAAAGCTCTGAGTGTCTTGTGAAATTCGTGTAATCTCTTAACAGTAATCCTTTGTAACTTGAAAATCAAAAAACAGATCGCATACTTCCAGCATGACACAGGATATACATTATCCTGTTCCAAAGGGTAAGGAACAGAGTACAGTCAGGAAGTACTGGACCAAATCAAGTCAAAACAAAACAGGACACACACACACACACACACACACACACACACTAATAAAACAAACAAACAAAAAGACAAAAACCCAGCTTGGCAAACTCTGAACTCTGTATGTCTGTGTCTGACGTCAAAGTTCTATTTAAATTTTCATCTCCTTTCACCTTTGTTGATTATAACACACATCTTTCTGTTGGACTGATTTCATTCCCCATGTTTTAGCTCTCTTTTTCAGGTATCCAAAGAGTTTTGCATCTCCAAAATTTTTGGGTCTTCATTCAGGGACACCATTGACACAGTCCTCCTGTTAGCAACTTTCCTTAGTCACAGAGGAAGATTCTATAATCTCTTTTATTCTTGCTTCTAAAGCTAGAACCACATATCCAAAGATGTCCATATATCTGCTGTTAGCTGGAGCTGTAACATGGACCCCTCTTTCAATTCTATTTTCACCAGATTTCTGTTTTTCATGGTTTCCTTCATTGCCTAAACTCAACTGTCCTGGAACTCCAGCTGTAGTCTAGGCTGAATATGAAATCAGATATCTGCATGCCTTTGTCACCTGAGTGCTGGAATTAAAGGCATGTACCTCAATGCCTAGACCTGTTTTTAATTCCTCTTCACAAGATAGAAATTTACCTTGGTGGGAGCATGTCTTGATGTCACAAATCCCTTTATGACACTTCATGCGTTTAATATGTTTATCTGCTTGAACATTGGATTTAGCTCCATTGCACTTCCTGGTGCCCGTTTTCTCCATGAACTGTGTGTTTTGTATTTTTCTTGCTCTTTTTAATCAAACCATTCTTCATAAAAGTGAACCACAGGATACTCTACCTTAGGCTGCTTTGAGATTTTGTTCGCCAATGAAATTAATCCAAACTTCTTCACTTTAGCCTCAGGTAGACTCTTCAGACAAGGCTAAGAGTAACCACATTCTGCACACTAATATCACAAGAATGATCTCTAGGCAACAAACTAAAATCCTTCTCCTCTGAAGCTTCTTGAACCCAGCACCCACAGTTCAAATCACCCTCAAAAACAATGTTTTCTATGTTCTTATTAGTGTGACTCATTATTCCCAATTAAAACACATTCCACTGCTTTCCTAACCCATAGGCCCAAATCCATATTCCTCCACATTAAATCATGGTCAGGCCTATCATAGCAATACTCCATTCCCTGGTAGCACTTCCCATCTTAGGCTGTTACTGCTGAGAAGAGAAACCACAATAACTCTTCTGGAAGAAAACATTTAACTGGGACTGGCTTATGCAATCAGAGTTTTAGTACATTACTGTGATAGTGAGAAGTATGTTGGAGTGCAGGAAGATATGGTGGTGGAAAGAAGTTGAGAGTTCTACATCTTGATCTGCAGGCTGCATGTGACTGTTTGCCACACGGGGCATACATAGATTGAGCATAGGAGTACTTAAGTTTGCCTCCACAGTAACATACTTTCTCTAAAAGGTCCACCCCTACTTCAAAAGGCCACAACTTCTAGCAGTGTCACTCCCTATGGTCCAAACATTCAAACAGATGAATGTGTGTATGTGGGGGTGATACCTATTCAAACCACCAAACAGCTATATTAGTTTTATTAAAATTTATCTAATATTTAACAGTGTTACTCTCAAAAAAATCATAGGGAAAATAAATATGCATGCAAATTAGTAGACACACTGAATGTATAATAATTATTACACTTCCTTAAAGAATAACACAGAAATATAGAGGGCATTTTTCAGAAAAATATAAGCCTTTATATAACTTATGTATTACAAGTTCATAAAATACTTCCTATATAATTATATAAGCCTTTAATTATCAAAGTACTTATTTATAGTTATTACCTATTGAACAATTTAAAATCAACTTTATTTATTTAAATTCATACAATTCACATCACTTACATATTCCCATAAACACGTAGACCAATCGTTTCGAATTATAGATCCAACAACGTATTTTTACTCCACATTCATTAATGTCCCAGAAATTACAACATAGAGCTGATGCTTCTGGAAAAAGTGTTGTTACAAGGAAAGCTCCTATAAAAAAAGTTAATGATTAAAATTACTTCATAAAAGACAAGAATAATTTATTCTCATCAAACATGTGCGTGCACACACACACACACACACACACACACATACACACATACATGATAATCTAAAGAAATTATTTAAAATTCTGTAAAAGCCTTTTATCTATTGGCTTAAAAAACTTGGTAATCAATATCCTGATACTTGCATGTACACCAATATTAATAGTTTGTAATGATTTTAGAATTCTGTTCATGATGTTGTTTACAAGATATCATAAAGTACTTTTTTTGTATTTTCAGGATATATTTAGCAGACATATTTACAACCAAGAACTATACTACGTGATTTTTTTACTCCTGCTATCTTTAAAGATAGATATCTATGGTATATTTAATAACCAAATGTGACTTTATACTATTATCTGATTGCATTCTCTTTTCTATGTCTCTTGAGAATGCTTCTTATATTCCTGGGGAATATATTTCAGGATTCTCAGTTGATGTTTGTAACTGTATATGGCACCAACCTGTTTATAGACAGGACACATAAAAACAAACACCCTCACACCCACACACACACTCTGGTGTGTGTGTGTTGAATGTGTTTCAATGTGCTGCTATGAATTAAAATACATTTTCTATTCATATCTTTTATTTTAATTTAGCTTAAAAGCAAGTGAGATCATAAATCTTCTATAATTCTTCATTTTGATTGACCCATTTTCTATTCTTCTACCCTTCACTTCATTCTCATTCTTTTAAAATCACAGCAGTTCACATGTGGTTTCATATGACATGAGATTTATCATTCTGTTTATATACTTTTACTCACGCTTTAAGATCATTATAGCCAATGTAACTTCATGAAGACTCTAAGGCTTCCCTTGGTCCTTCTTTTGCTGCTCTATTATAAAACTCCCTGACGAACATCTGTTCCCTACTTTCTCCTTCTCTACTTTCATCACACTTATATTCTGACATCCTTCTTTCAAATGCATCCTATCAAGAAATGGGCCATTTCTAGTTTCAACATAAACTCTGGGTTAAACCTACAAGTAAGTGATCAAAAGCTAGAGGCCACATATGAAAGGGAACATTTAGAATTATATTGTTGGACATGAGTGACCTCACTCAATATAATTCTTTTTGGTTATGTCCATTTTTTTGCAAGTTTCTCAATGTCACATTTTCATGACTGGTAAGCAAAGTTATACTATGTATATGTATGCATTTTGGGGGTCTATTCATCAGCTGTTGATCATCTAAATTGTCTCCAGTTCTAGCTGTAATGCAATATAAAATCAATGACCATGAATATGATAGTATCTATGTAATGAGATATCAGTTCCTTTGGTTAAATGCCCAGGAATGGTATAATAAGGTCATGTGGTGAAATTACTTCCGAGTTTGAACAGATGTAAATAATACTCTCCATAAAGCCATGTAATATTAAATGAAAATCTCGGTGTCAAACACAATTTTTCCTTCTGTTGGTTATTGGTCAGGGAGCCTGTAGAGGCACTTGAAACAATGTGGTCTAAGGCCATTGATAATAGTACCACCACATCTAGATGATAAGACCTGATTACTGAAGACATCACACACTTTCGTCACAGGACACAGAAAACAACCCTCAAATTTCTCTGTTGACTAGCATTCAGGGAGGTTGCTGAGCTGTGCAAGCTGATGGAGAAAACTAGGATGTTATCCATGGCCAGACCCAACTACAGTACAAAGTGTTCAGGCAGGTAGTACCCATGATACAATAGTGGCAGGACTGTTTATGTGGACAACCAACCCCTTTCTCATTGAACCGGAAAACTACTCTGCAGGAGGAAATTTTTGAGTACTACTATAAATATGGTGTAAAACTATGATTAGAAGAAATATTTCACAGAATGTATTTCTTATGGGGATCCACAAGCATACAGCAACAAGTACAATATTAATTTGAATATGTGGATATTTTATATAATCTAGCAGTATAATTTATGTGTGATGAAGATACTTCAGCTCTGAATAAAAGGGTTCAGCTAACACAATATAACTGATGCTTATTTTGTTTAATTGCGTGGCTTTTATTTTACCTAATTTCTCTCTTTACTTACTTAGCTCCAAATATTTCAGAGCAATCTCATATTCGTTTTTGTGTCACTTTACATTATTATTAATCCTGAAGTTTAAATATACATGAAAATTTTCATACCAAAGATGGATGATTTTGTACACTTAATTTAGCTGAATACACATACCAATGAATCTCCAAATTGTATATGTCACACCCAAGCTCATTGAATTCCAACTGGCAGGTACACTTCTGAAAGCAAATAGAAATAATATTACCTATGACTCATAAGTGCTAGGTTTATGTTTTTAAAACTAAATGTTATACTTAATTTATACCACAAATATTTAGCTGGATGACAAAAGTTCAATTTGGCATATGAACACAATGTATATCTATCCATTTACTCATTATTTAACATGATGACTAAAAACTCAAACCCTGTAATTCTTCCCATGGGAAAGAACTTTATGGATCAAATCTGCCTAAGCTACCTTTTTTCTGAAACAATTCAGCTCTGTCTAGCTCTTGTGTTTACTTTCCTTCCTCTGTCAGGTGTGGTATTACTTAGAGTCCATTTCAGCATTGTTAGGTCCACTCTGTATTTTCCTAATTTGTTGTTTCTGGTGGATACTTCACTTCGAAAATTATATCTGTAAGTATACACTTAACATTCTGGCCTTTGATTGAGTTTGAACTAAATGGCACTTTGAATGAAGGAGGCAGCTTAAGTCCACACTATTACCTTCAGGCTTAAGTCCACATTATTACCTTCAGGCTTTTCCTGATGGTTACTGGGTGAGTGAGTTCCATAGAAGGTTGTCTTCATTACAAGGGTTCCTCTCTCACTCTCATTCCCTGCAGAGCATCTGTGCCTACATACCACACTATAGAATGACTTTCCTTACATCCAGCTTACATTTGGTTGAAACTTTATTCAATTTTACTTGAATCATTCTAATTTCTGACTTTCACCTCTTTCATGTGGCATCTTTATTATATTCAGAACTCCAAAATAAAATAAATAAAACATAACTTTACATCATTTACAAGAGGTGACACCCACACTGACAGAAACAAGTCTAATTTAGCAAGCCATACACAGAAAGACATCATTAAAGGTACAAAAGGCTTGTTAGGAAGAATAAAACTTCAGCAGAAACAGAAGAAATGGTAAAGAGCAAACTCTAACATATATTGCATACATTCATAAGTAAAAATGAAGATATTTTCATTTCTTTGTTTTTTTACAAGTTACACAAAGTTTTGAAAATTCATTCAGTGCCCCCTGATTACAGAGTCCCCATCTCTGCTCTCTTCAAAGACCCAAACTTACAAATTTCTTACTCCCTACCCTCATTACCCCTCTTCTCCTTAGAGTTATAGGAGCTCTTTTGTGTACCAGTCACTCCAGGACATCCAGTCACAGTAGGCCTAAGCATATTCTCTCTCACTGAGGCTCATCAAGGCTGTCTAGTTAGAGGAAGTTGATCCAATGACAGTCACCCTAGTCAGAGATAGATATTGCTTCAGTTGTTAGGGGATGAACATGAAGACCAAGCTTCACATCTGCTACAGATGTGTAGTGGCCTAGGTCTAGTCTCTATAGGCTCGATGATTAGTGTTTCAGCCTCTGAAGCCCCATGGGCTCAAGATAGTCAACTCTGAATGTGTTTTTTCGGTGTTCTTTTTATTTCCATCTTTCTAACTTCCACTCTTCCACTATATATCTTATTGAATACATCAAACATTTGCTTAAGAAGAAAAAGATATATAGGTTGTATTTTAAATCAACACCTGTGCTTTGTGACAAATATGGATCGATTTTCAGTTTTCTATGTACAGATGATCATTGAGACCACATTGTTTATTGAAGATGCTTTCTCTTATCCATTATATATTTTTGGCTTCTTTGTCAAAGATCAAGTGTCCATAAGAGTCTTATGGACACTTGATATATTCAAGGTCTTCATATTTCACGGTCTTCATTTCCAGATATATTCAAGGTCTTCATATTTCAGGATCTTCAATTCTAATCCAATGACCAACCCGTCTGTCTGTGTACCAACCCCATGCACTTCATATCACTATTACTTTGTGGTACACCTTGAGGTCACGGATGATTTCCTCAGAAGTTCTTTCTCCCTAGATCGAGTTTTTTTCTTTTTGCTTTTTCCATGTCTATGAAGAATTACATTGGAATTTTGATAGGGATTGTACTGAATTTGTAGATTGCTCTTGGTAGAATAACAATTTCACTATGTTAATCCTACCAATAAATTAGTATAAGAGATCTCTTCATTTCTGAGGTCTTCGATTTCTTTATTAAGAGGATTGAAGTTCTTGTCACACAGATCCTTCACTTGTTTGGTAAGATTTACCCTAGATATTTTATATTATTTGTGACTATTGTTAAGTGTTTTGTTTCCCTATTTTTATTCTCAGCTAATTTATCATTTGTATAAAGGAAGGCAACTGATTTGATTTAATTTTATATCCAGCCACCTTGCTGAATTTGTTTATCAGTTGTAGAATGTCTCTGGTAGAAATTTGGGGGTTCACTTATTTATACTATTATATCATCTGCGAATAGTGACGCTTTGACTTCTTTGCCAATTTGTAGCTCCTTGATTTCCTGATTTTGCCATATTGTTCTAGCTAGAACTTCAAGTAGCATATTGAATAGATATGTGGAGAGTCCAAGTGAATCAAGAACCTCAACATACACTGAGCCAAATACACTGAATCTAGTAGAAGACAAAATGGGAAAAAGCCTCGAATTCATTGGCACAGGGGTGAATTTCCTAAACAGAATGCCAATGGCTCAGGCTCTAAGATCAAGAATTGATAAATGAGATCTCATGAAACTGAAAAGCTTCTGTAAGGCAAAAAGCAGTCAATAGGACAAATTTGCAATCTACAGATTGAGAAAAAAACTTCACTAACCCCATATCCAATATAAGGATAATATTCAAAATATATAAAGAACTCAAAAAGGTAACTTCCAAATAATGAAAAAAAATGGAGTATAGATCTAAACAGAGAATTCACAACAGAGGAATCTTGAATGGCTGAGAATCACTTAAAACAATTTTCAGAGTCATTAGTCATCAGGAAATTGCACACCAAAATAACCCTGAGATTCTACCTTACACCAATAACAGTGACTGAGATAAAAAAACTCAGGTGACAGTACATGGTAGTGAGGATGTGGAGAAATGGAACACTCCTTCATTGCTCATGGGATTGCAAACTGGTACAGCTACTCTGGAAATCAATCTGGAGTTTCCTCATAAAATTGGAAATAGATCTACCTGATGACCCAGCAACACCACTCTTAAGCACATATTCTAAAGATTCCCTACCATACCACAAGGGCATGTGGTCTAATAAGTACATGGTGACCTTATCCGTGATAGCCAGAAGCTGGAAACATACCAGATGTCCTATAACTAAAGAAAGGGTAAAAAAAACCTAGTTTATTTACACAATGGAAGAGTATTCAGCTGTTAAGTACAAGGAGATCATAAATTTTGCAGACAAATGAATTGAGCTAGAAAATATCAGCCTGCTCAGACCCAAATGGACATGCATGGTATGTACTAACAAATGGATAGTAGCTTTAAAGTACAGAGTTCCTAGGAAACAATCCACAGAATTCAATAAGGTTAACAAATAGATGATCCCATGTTAGGGTGCTTCAATACCACCAGGAAGGCAGAAAAAAAACAACCATGGGAGGCAGAGACAAGGAGCTACCTGAGAAGGAAAGGGTAAGGAGAGGAGAAAAGGGGAACATGATGTGGTTTGTTGGGGAGGGGGGAGATAGGAAGAAGCCTTGAGTGCCAGCAGAATGAACATAAATACACAACCTCAAGGATGGGATTTGGGAGGTTGAGGTTGGGGTAACCTCTAGAATGTACCAGAGACCTGGGAAGTTGGAGATTCTCAGGACTCAAAGGAGGAGTCCTCACATGAAATACCAACATTGTGGACCTATTTTCAGGAGAAAGGCAGGGCATTAAGTGGAGGGATGGGGTTGCCATCATATATTCAAAAATTCTAACCCAGAATTGTTCCTGTCTCAAAGAACTGTGTGGAGAAGAAACTGAGAGAAAGGTGTTTCAGTGACTGGCCCAGCATCTCAAGGAGAGGCTGCAAGGCCTGACACTATTACTGATATCCTGTGGTTAGACAGGAGCTTAGCAAGGCTGTCCTCTGAGAGGCACAACAAACAGCTGGCTGAGACAGATGCAGATAATTACATGCAACAAATGGATTGAAATCTGGGACCCCTGTGGTTGAATTAGGGAAAGGCTGAAGGAAGCTAAGGAGGAGGGTGACCCCTAGGGAGACCAGCAGTCTAATCTAACCAGGACCTCTGACATTTCTCAGACACTGAACCACCAACCAGGCAGCATAAATGAGATGGTCTAAGGCTCTGGACACTTATATAGCTGAGGACTACCTGGTCTGGCCTCAGTAGGAGAAGAAATGTCTAACTCTTTAGAGAAACTTGAGGCCCCAGAGCAAGTAATAAAAAAGTAATGAAAGAAAGGGAAAAAATCAGCACCATGTAATGTCCATTCACTATTTATTTCCTTGTACTGAAACTTGAAACATTATCCAACATCTCTAATTTATAAAATTCAACATTACTATTCATGAATAATAGTTTCATAACTCATGTCTCTATCTTTCAGAATTTTAAATATAAAATGAATACATACTTAGGGGAGCAAAACAAAATGAAATAGAGCACACAAACCTTCATGTGTGTAAGTACAACTGGCCTCCTTCACTGAAATTTCCCTTCTGCTCCTTTCTCTCTTCTACCTTTCTCAAAATGTATTAAAGGTCATCACCCTAATTACCTTTTAGTGCTTCCAACAGTATTGCAATTAAGTAAAACTACATGTCTCTGAATTGTCCTTTACATCATGGATTACTATGTTCATTGATTGTAGTTGACAATATACTTCTATTTAAAATTTCTTCTGTTTTGTTTTATTTTCTTTATTAAAAATTATTATTTGTATAGGGACTTATCTCAGTATGTAGCCCTAGCTGATCAGAATAACATTGCGTGGAACAGGTTGGCGTTGAACTCATCAAATGTGCTTTTTCTGCCTCTCAAATGGTTTGTTTATAGGGATAGACTGCCATGCCCTGCAGGTGCTTTTGTTTTCATTATATATGTCAATTGTACAAACCAATGGCTTCTGAGTATATGATGTACTTATTTTCTATTTATGTATTTATATATTTAAGTATTTGCATTTATGTATTTGTATTTATGTATGTATGTATGTATGTATGTATGTATGTATGTATGTATTTATGTTTATGGGAAGTCTCAGGTTTCCTAGGATGGCAACAAACTTCCTTCTTTACAAGTCTGACCTTGATCCTCCAGCAGCAACCTTGTAAATGCTGGGATTAGAGACATGTACCAACATTTTCTAGATCATGTAGTGCTGGACATCAACCCCAGGGCTTTGTGAATATTCAGCAAGTATTCTCCAAACAGCACTACAGTTGTGCTTCCATTTCTTTCTACTTGTTTTGTGTTACTCTTGTTTTCCTAGGACCTGAAGACACATGAGTAATATATTTATTCAGATCTTTGTGAAATAGAATACCTGCCCTTTTATTTATAAACCTCCTACCTGCATGTGACTTTTGTGTCAGATCTAAAATTTGTGTCTAAATTATTTGGATAAGTCATTTGAGCCACTGTTAAGCTTTAACTTCTATGTGTAGTAATAAACCTTCTGAAGTTCTCCTACTTTAAATGCTGTCCATAGGATTCTGAGATTTCATGAAATGTCATACTTTCAAAACTATATGTTCATTTACTGATCACTTATTTTCTACAATATTCTAAAAGTTGTTTTATCATTGATACCCTGTGCATTTTCCTTGTCCTCTGTGACATCAGTTTCAGAGAGACACAGACTTGTCTGCTTATATTCAGCTCTGATCCCAAAACATTCATATCAAACTGTATAGTCTGGTTAGAATTATATGAACAAAATTCATGATATCTGTAAATTCTGAGGTGTTCTTCCCATTCCTTCTTCTTTTCATTTGAACGAACATCACTGAATAACCCAGATTGGCTTCAAACTTACAATGTTCCAGCTTCAGTACTCAGTGTTGAGATCAACAGTCATGGTATATTTCTTTGTTGTTCCTTAGAACATTATTGTAAACATAGTAACTGAAATTCCAGAATAGCTGGAATTTGTACAGATGTAATTTTGAATTTGTCTCTTTTATCATCTCATAATTTACAAATTGTATGTGTGTAAGTAAAGGGATACTGTGTTTTATTCATTTTACTAATTCATAAAATTGAGAAGACACAAAATAACATTTCAGGAATATAATTCTCTGCTGAGAACATAGATTGGATATTTCACATCTACTTTAATGAAGTCACATTGTTTAGTAATAATTTATATTTATATGTATGTGTGTGTATGTGTGTGTTTTGTGTGTGAGAGAGGATGGGGAGGAAGAAGGAGAGGGAGGAGGGAGAGTCTATGTACTGCTAAGGTCAGAGAAACCTTTCAAGATATGGTATTTTTTCATCTTCTATGTGAGTTCTCAGGGATTGAACTCAGGCTCTCAGACTTGATAGCAAGTGTCTTTACTCACTGAGACATCTCATCAACTAAAGTATGGGCTGTTTTCCATTTCTCCTCTTTGAATTTTGTATTTTCATTTATAGAACTGTTCTTTTAGTTGCCCAAATGGGAAACCTGAATCTGATTCTTGATATCTCCATATCTCCACAAGGTTATAACTCACCCTTTTGACACAAACAAATATTTTTCAAACCACCAAATACTTACTGAATGATCTCCAGATGTCATTATTTCACCCTCACGCTGTCTTTTCTCCACTTTCTTCTTTTAACTTTATTTGCACTATTATCTTCAAACTACTCTATTAAGATGCACATCTTACTGCAACCCAAGCTCTGGACAGGCTGGGGCAGAATGGTCACATGTTTGAGGCCAGCTTGGGTTGTACAGAAAGACCCTATCTATCAAAATCTATATAAAACCAAGTACTTCAACTACAGCAACATAGAGGAAAAAAATAAATCATGTATCTCTCCAATTTTTCTCATCTTTTGTAGAGAAATTAATCATACACATTATGTGTTATAATCAATCCCTCCCCTCTTTTCCCTCCCCTCTTTTCCCTCCCCTCCAGTTTCTTTTTATTTTCCCTCATGTTTATTTCACCAAACTATATATTTGCTAGAATATTCCACAGTTTCTGTCTCTACATTCACTCTACAACTGAGAACATGTTAGAAGTAAACTATTGTTTTTCTTCTTGTTGGTCAGTCTTTACTGGATAGTTAGGACACTGATATCCTTGTTAACAACTCAACAGATTTAGTTTCAAAAGAGATAATGCTCTTTTATTATGTGTCTAGAGTAAAAATGAGAGTTAGTTGGGCTAAACATCTTCTGGACAATCACATGAATGAAAAATTATGGGTCATTTTAATAAACTGAAACTGTAAAAGTTACTGTGGTCCTTTGTTGTTGACACGCTTTCTCATGACTCAGCTGTTAATGTACAGTTATAGTTAAATACACATACTAATAAGTCAAATTATCACTCTCACATCTGTGTGACAATTTAAAATTTTCTTGATTATGGATTCATCATGTATATTCTACAAGGTAAACATAAGGTTTCTATTAAAGTTATGTTGTATCTGGTGCATAGATACGTACCTTTGCTATATCATTAGAGGTCAATAAATACAATTTCAGAACTTGTTGTATTTTTTAATTAAACTGAGAATAAATGTAGCATCAATTTGTGTTACACAAAAAATACCAAGTAAAATAAGTAAGAAAAAAATTATACATACATATATATATATATGTAAATTTTAACAACATAAATATTGTCTATTTATATTTACTACAATAAAACACAGGAACTCATTTGCTGCAATAATTTGAATTATTTATAAATGCATTATTCTTATGTTCTAACTTGTCAATAATGATAAAACTTACATACTTACTCCATGATAATCATGAGGGCAGGTATATTACAGAAATTAGAAAAAACCGTTGCACAAAAGTAAAAAGCAAAAAACAAAGGTAATGTAAGACAGTTGATATTACATGTTCCAGAAATAGCGTCAATATATTGACCTTCATCATCAGGAGAGGCCAATCCTTCTTTAATGCAAGAACAATTGTAGTATGCCTATTTATATGAAAAATAAAAATAGTATTTCAGAAACAGTCAGCAGATAATAGCCTTATTGTGAGATTAAAAATTAAATTAATATTTAAAAGACATTTCCCAGGGTTTTGTTTCCTACAGCTTTTATAGTTTTTATTTGGTGATATTCAATTATAATCATCTAATTAACCCTTCCTTTCCTCTTCTCAAAGCCTTTGTTATGTCTCTATTTTATATTAGTAGCTTTCTTCTCTGCTCTATTTACTGTTATATACACAATATATATGTATATGTAAATGCAACTTGCTCAGTGTGCAAAATATTACTTGTATGTACAGATTTTGGGTTGACCATATGGTATTGGATAGCTGTTTGGTATGCTCCTCATGAAGCAGCCTATTTCACTTATTCTCAGTATTCCCTTAAGATTTTAGTACATAACTGGAACTCACAGAGGTCTGTCTGCCTCTGCAAACAGACTACTGGAATTAAGGCATGTGCCATCACATTGCACTTAGATGCCTACTTTCAATGAACATTCTCATGCTAAACCTGCTCTACATTACTTGTATATTGAAAATTAGTTGAAAAATCACATGTAGGTATTTGTGGGTATATAATTGTAAATATGGCAGTTCTACAAATTTTAGAAATATTAATTAATTTTAAAAGTTTCATATTCTTGGATGTCAGTATACATTAAAGGCAATTAAAGGTAATAAAATTATTCACATAATTAAATTCAGAGTTCCTTTAATTTTGATTAAAAAAAAAGCCAGAAATACACACTGGAAAAGTTAAAGTATCAGCAATGAACACTCCAAGTCAATCAAAGTTCTCAATGTAAAATAAGACATACTACATCTGATAGAGAAAAATGGAACAACCTTGAATGAATTGACATAGGAGACAACTTTCTAAACAGAACATTGATGGTGTAGTCACTAAGATCATCAGTTAATAAAGACACCTCATGTCATTAAAACATTTCTGTAAAAAAAAAAAAAAACAAAAAGAAAAGAAAAGAAAAAAGAAAACCAAAAACAGGAAGCCTATCAAATTGGAAGAGTTTTAATTTTTTTATAAAATCAACATTCAATAAAGTTCTACTACTCAAAATGCACAAGCAACTCAAAAGTATAAAAACAAAAATAGCCCAATTGAATATGAAGTACAGATTTAAACATAGAGTTTTCAATAAAGGAATCTCAAATGGCTGAGGTACAAATAAAGAAATGTACAATATCCTTAGCCATCAGGGAAATGAGTATCAAAACAACTCTGAAATTTAAACTATCAGAATCACTAAGAGGACTAATACACAAAAGATGCTTCATCATATCACAGGGAAAATTGCTCAACTCTGTTCATTGTGGCTTTATGCATAACCAGAAACTTCAACTAACCTAGATTTTACTCAACAAAATAAAGTATATGTGGTACATTTACACAATGGAGTATTTCTAGGCTGTTAAAAAAAAAAAGGTGGCATCATGAAGTCTGTTGGCAAATGAATGGTACTAAGAAAAAAATCCTGCATGACGTAAATCATACCAGATGGAGAAATGTGATATGTACTTATTTATAAGTGGATATTAGTATTAAGTAAATAATAATCATAGCAATTTACAGACCCTGAAAGTTTAGATAAAAATTAGGTCTCTGGGGAAGATTCTTTGACCTACTTGAGAAGGAGAAACAAAATAAAGGTTTGTAGACTGAGTGTAGGCAAAGACAGGAGCTTAATTTTAAAAATAGAAGAGCCCTCCTATGTCCAAATTGATAATTTGACTGACAAGGAAACCAGGGAGGAATCAGATAGGAAGGGAGTGGAAGAAGTTTCAGAAGACAAAGCTAGAATAGGAGAGCATGGGCAAGTTATAGATACCTAGTCCAGTGGAGGAATTTTGGAACATATGCAGGTGACCCTAGTGAGGACTCCTAGTAATGGAGGATATGGTCTCTGAACCTGACTGTAGCCAGGCAAGGCTTCCATGGTGAGACTGGGTTGTGTTCATTTGAGTTGTTTGTGAGGGAGTTCCACAGCAATCCCAAAACAACTCAGGCTGATACTGACACAAAAGGTCATTTTCTGAAAACCAATAGTGTAGCCCAATTTCCAAGGAAAACATCCACAAGGCTTTTTGAATGAAAAGGACCTGGGCTGAGATTCATCCCTACCTCTAGTCCAAAAGTTCTCAATATGTGGGTCACAATTCCATTGTGGTTGGACAACACATGTACGGGGGTTGTATATCAGTTATCACACATCCCAGATATTTACATTAGAATATATAACAATAACAAAATTATAGTTATGAAATATCAATGAAAATAATTTTGTAGTTGAGGGTTACCACAATATGAGGAACCTTGTCATAGTTACACAGGAAAATTAAGAAATACTGTTTTAGGTTTTTTGTTTTTGTTTTTTTTTTTTTTTGTACAAGATGATACTCTGTGGACTACTGAAAAAGCAAACTGGGACACAGCCCAGCCACAAAACTCAACCTTCAATCCTGTCATCAAGATGTACTGGGAGCAATGATGGTGCTGAAGTTCTGGTAGTAGCTAACCAATGTTTTGTTTAACTTGAGTCCAGTGCCAGTAGAGGGAGCCCATGACCTATATCACCTGGATGCCCAAGACCTGGGCACTAGATAGCCCAGAGACCTAGGCTAGAACCAAACATGACTGGCAGAAGCAAACCAAAAGATCCCTAATGATATTCTGCTATACTCATAGCTTGGTACCTTGTCCAGTTGTCATCTGAGAATCCGCTCCAGTAGATAGTAGTGCAGAGAACCTCAGTCAGATATGGGAGAGAGTCTTAATTGGAGGACTCATTTGTTCGCTCCACTGGGATATAGAGAAACATTGCGGTAGAGGGAGAGATTAAATTGCAGGAGTCTGAGGGGATGGAAGATACCAAGAGACTTTGGATCCTGATTCACCTATGCAGGCTTGCATGCGTTCAAAGAGACTGAAGTGGCAAGCACAGTGTCTACATTTGTCTGTACCAGGTCCTCTGTGTTTATGCTATAGGCTAACAAGCTTGGTGTATTCATGGGACTCATAACAGTGGGAGGGGTGTATCTGTATTTTTTCTCTTCTAGGGACTCTTTTCCTCCTCTTTGGTTCCCGTGTCCAATCTCAATATGAAGGCTTTTGCCTTGTCTTATTGTATGTTTTGTCTAATTTGACAGTTGTCTCTTTTCTAAAGAGGAAAAAGAATGGGATTGAATCTGGGGAAGAGGGGGCATAGTGGGAACTGGAACGAGTGAAGGGGAAAGAAGCTAGGGTATGTTTTGTGAAAAAAAAAGAATATTTTCTTAAGTAAAAGTGTTGGAAACCTATAGGAAATGTTAAAAGATATAGCACAGTGTAGATATGCCCTCCCTTCTGTGCTAGGAAGTAATTCAAGATGGCTGTGGTGTTTCCTTCCAACAGCTATACATAACCTCATAATACTTAGGAAAAAGAAACTGTGACTTTTAGTTCTCTTATAAAGCATATTACATGTGTAATAAAAAATATTGCTCTGATTGAGCTTCAACAGACTATGTGAGCTCTGTAATACAGCTTCAGGTCAGGGATGGTGATTCACCTAGAAGTTCTTTTATTTTTGAGAATACTTTTTCCTATCCTGAGGTTTGGTTATTACAAATGAATTTGCAAATTTCTCTGTATAACTCTATGAATAATTGAGTTGGAATTTTGGTAGGGATTGCACTGGATCTGTAGGTTGCTTTCAACAAGATAGCCATTTTTTACTATATTGATCCTGTCAATTCGTGAGCATGGGAGATCTTTCAATCTTCTGAGATTTTCTTCAATTTCTTTCTTCAGAGACTTGAAGTTCTTGTCATACAGATCTTTCACTTGTTTGATTAGAGTCACATCACGATATTTTATATTGTTTGTGATTATTGAGAAGGGTCTTATTTCCCTAAACTCTTTCTCAGCCTGTTTGTCCTTTGAGTAGAGGAAGGCTACTGATTTGTTTGAGTTAATTTTATACCCAGCCTCTTTGCTGAAGTTGTTTATTAGGTTTAGGAGTTCTCTGGTGGAAGTTTTGGGGTCACTTAAGTATACTATCCTATCATCTGCAAATAGTGATATTTTGACTTCTTCCTTTCCAGTTTGTATTTCTTTGATTTCCTTTTGTTGTCTAATTGCTCTGGCTAGGACTTCCTGTACTACATTGAAAGGTAGAGTGAGAGAAAGAGAGAGTGGGCAGCGTTATCTAAAATGTGGGATTACTTTCAAGTTTCTGTCCATTTGGTTTGATGTTGACTTTTGATTTACTGCAATTGCTTTTACTATGTTTAGGTATGGGTCTTCGAACTGAATACTTCTTCCATTTGAAGAACTAAATACCACTATGCATTCAGAAGAGATCTTCACATGTGCATACACACACACAAACATATACATAAAATCACATGCATATATCAAAAATGCATACACACAAAATTAAAATATGCGAGCCTCACAAATTTAGACAAGTGGTGGACTAAGAAAAAAGATAATAGTTTTAGGTATTGGCAGCAGTTCTGGAAGTAGGAATATTCAAGTTACTGCTCTGAAGTATGCAATGACTCGTTAGCATATATAATTCACTTAAGTGGTACTTCTTCTATTCATGTGAGTTCTCTATAGCTTGTAGTTTTCTTTAAAGTCAGATATGACTTTAAAGGCATATATATGTATGTATATATATACGTATATGTATACATATATGTATATATACACACAAACACATATGGTAATGTCTTATGCACAATCAAAAAACTGGAAATTAGGGATACAACTCAGTAATCTGGGTTGTAGAAGACTGGATTTGCAATCTGCTATTTTAAAAATCATGTCCATATCTGAGTTGCTGTGGAACAAAAATAAGACATATTAGGGAAATGAAGAATAGACATTTTGAATCTCAGCACAAGGCACGTTTAAAAGAAAGGTTACTCACAGTATAGCACTGGACTACCCTTTGGTGTGTGAAAGATTTTGATCAAAGTTCAGTGAATGCTGCAAAAAGGGAATTCGGTAAACAAAAATGTAGGTTTTCTTTCCATGTGGTTCAAATTAAAAGTAAGGAAAAGATATCTAGTCACCATGTACAAATTCAGCATGTTATTGGAGAAGAAAAAGCATAATAACATATACCTTTTCATTCCTTAAGTATTTAGAAGCTCTGCACCCTGCAAAACAGGGAGAGAAATATTGTCTCTCATCTCTTCCACATAGAGGCGTATAGGCAGAAGTTGTACAGCCACAGTTCTCATTGCAGGGAGCTGTAAGGTTTCCAACTCTACCAAGGCTGTGAAGTTGAGATTAAACACAATTATAATACCATCATTTAGTTTGTTAATGTGTACATCAAGGTAGCCACACGATCCATAAATATGCCTTTTGAAATATTTTTTCACAGATTGACTAAGGTATAGAAACATAATAAATGCACATTTATTAATATACCAATAAATAGCCCTGGTGCAATGGCTTATTTCTTAAGAATACATCCTGCTCTTTAGAGGAACAAAATTCCACTTCCAACATGCCCATGGCAGTTCACAACCATTTGTAACTCCAATTCCAGGTAGTCTGATGCCCTCTTATGGTCTCTTTCGATACCAGGCATGCATATGGTTTGTTTAACAAACATGTGGGTGAATATTCAAACACATAAAATAAACATAGATAAATCTTAAAATATGTAACACTTGAATTATTTTTATGCTGTAATAAAAAATTTACCAGAGCCTTTAACAAACAAAATCATAACCACCTAAAATGACCTGACACCCCTACTTCAAAGATTTACTTTACTACTTTACTACTTAGTTTCTTATAGATTATTACATATTAGTACTCTCTTCCTGTTGATTTGTTGGGATTTTATAAAAAGTAACCACACAATACTTAAATATACCTTGCTTGTTTTGCATTAATGACCTTTATTTGTTCTTGTAAGGACATACGTTTTCATGAGTCTTATGTAGGAAAAGTAGAATATTTAAATAGTATGAAAGTTGTTAATATAACTACATTAGGAGTATTTTATGTGTTTGTGCTTTGCTCAAATGTATGCCTATGTACCATGTGAGTGTAGCACCCAGGGAAGCAAAAGAAAGCCATTGGATCTATTTGGACTAGAGATGATACAGTTATGATCCTCCATGTAGATATAGGAAACCAAATCTGGGCCGTTGGCAGGAGAACAACTGCTCTTAAACACTGAATCACCTCTATAGCTATGTTTTGTTTTGTTTTTCCAAAAAAACTGTCAGTTTTCCAAAGTGTTTTATTGTTAGAAGCACAAAAGTACTTGTGTCCACAGATCATCAGGGAAAGCAAAAAAATGTTAAATACATAGATTTTTCTTTCAAAGGATTGGACATAGTATCTTTCCTTTATTCCAGAAATCTTCAAATTGGAAGTGATTAATAGCCCTTTGATCAACATTATCTTTGGATGGGCCATAATTAGCTCTCTAAATGTTCATTATATTGGCTGTACAGCCATCAGCTCCGCAAAGCTCCCAGAACTAGGACCAGAGGTGACTAGTAGCTTATATAATCTCCCCAGTATATATATGATCATGACTACACTAGATTCTTCCTTATATCCGTAAGCTAGTACTGACAGTCTGTAGGAGGAGCTAAGGTGGGAGGAGTTAGGAGAGGAAGAGAAAAAGGAAGAGGAGGAGTTAGAGAAGCAGAGATGTAGGAACAATAGAGAGCCACGCAGGTATGGGGAGCAGTCGTGGGTAATAACTTTTATTTAGGTTAGCTAATTGAGAAACAACTCTCGTCATATGGGTATATTGTTATTGAGTATTACCAAACATATAAAGCTTTTAATTAATCTTTAAGCATTAGAGTCTCATTTTATTACTGGGCTGCATGGCTGTCGTGATGGTCTGGGCAATGCCTAGCCTTTCAGAGACAGCATGGAAGATTGACAGAGCCATCTCCCATGATGGCTTCTCATGGGTGGCAGGGCTGGTGTTTCTGCGGGGCTGGTTCTAGTTGTTGTGCACACATGGCCTCCAGCTGAGAAACATGGCAGCTGAGCTAGGCAGAGCCACCGCAGCTTAGATAGCCAGCTTGATCAGAGGCCAATTTTAAATAATTATTTCTACAATAATCTATCTCTGCAACTCATCTTCTTGGGATAAATGACAGAGATACTGAATTCAGTTTCAATGTAATTATGCTTCTTTGTGCAGTAGGCACTTTATTACACCAAGAATCTTTCCTCCCCAAACTCTGTGTTTTAATATGCTGATATTAAACACGTTGACATTAGCCTTCCTAACATTTGATCCAGAATGATGATGTCAATCTGAACCAAGTTTTTATTCTAACTCCTTATGAGTTTATTTTTATCCCTGCTGTGACACCTAAAACACACTGCTCACTTGGTCCAAAACATGAAGTACAAGATACTCTGAGATTATAAGAAAAAATGTTTCAACTGATATTAGGGTTTAAGGATACTTGGACCTCTCACAGAAAAGAGGTCTCAACGTTTGGAAGAGTGGTACTAACATGGTACTAACTTCTCAGTCTTTGGTACAAATCATTTTGTACAATAATTGAAAACATTTTTAAGATTCAGAAGACCAAAACATTCAGAGCTATACTGAATATGAAAATGGTCCATAAGAGAGAAAAAAATTCCCTGTCAAATATTTTTTTTAAAATTCAGATAGATAATAGATAGATAGATAGATAGATAGATAGATAGATAGATGTAATTTTCTACCAGAGACACCTCGGCAAGGCAGTTAGAATTGACTCTGAAGCTCCTAAGCTTCCAGGCCAGTGACATGCCCCTTAGGATCTGACCAGATCAGAGCTGTCCTGCTGGTTGCCTCCTGTCAGTAATGCCTGTTAGAGCAGTGCAGAGCAACAACTGAGTTCCAAGAAATGGCAGGTGGAGCTCCAGGACATGCAACATGAGCTTAGATTTTATTTTTGTTTGTTTGGTTGTTTGTCTGTTGCTTTTCCATCAAAGCGGGAATAGTTCAATATCAACGGTGCCTTCATAAGAATTTTTTCTCTCATACCAAGAATAACTCAGTATCAGTGTCTTCAGGAAATAAAGAAAAAAATGAAAATAGCTGAACTTCAAGTACAGGAACAATTACAACTAAGAGGTAAATCACTTAAGCTGATGCTAATTAAATTTCCTGAGGATCAGTCATTCAATTTATTGATGCATACTGTTCTCCTGATCTTCAAATCAAAGTTAGTACTTAGCATTTGTGATAGATAAAATAAATGAACAAAATTTAAACTTTTGTTCTAAATCAACATGGATATCATCTTATCTGTTTATCACTACTGAGGATTTGAACCTGCTCTTTAGGTTGCTTTCTGGAGGCACCTGATTAAATTTTGAAAGAAATATATCACCTAAAACAAAGCAGCAAGATTGAGGCTCTACATTAACTGCCCTCATGTATAAATTAACACATGAAGGGCAGAGATGCACTGAAAATAGAAACTGACCTAACTTGAGAGAAAGAAAATACTGAAGAAAATTTGTGAGTGTAGAAAGGATACAGTGAATTGGAACACTTGTGGTGTTGTACTTGAGATTGGAGTTCAGGGAACAGATGTTGGAAAGGCTGGCACATGAGTAGTTTGGGTACAAAATATGAGAACAGACAGAATGGCATCAGGCTCCACAGAGAACCTGGACTGGAATTTTACTCTATTCACTTTGTGGTTCATTTCTGATTTCATGACACCTGCAGGGATACCCTCAGTTCATGGTTGGAATTCTGCTAGTGATATGCACAAGCTTCAACTATTCTCCACATTACTTTGTAGTGGTATGATTTCATTGCTTTACAGATTCTGATATGGGACAGTTTCCAAGTGACTAATGAAAGTTAATTAATCTCTATCTGCATATTTTCCTTGTGTATGTAATTATTGTTTGATGAAATTGTTTCAAATTATTCATAACTTTTGTTAGGCCAATTCTCATTACTGTTATACCACTCTCTTAAATGTTTTATATGATCAGAAACAAATCTTTTGTATGTATTATTTTCCAATGTCTCTTTTATACTCTATGGCATAGTTTTTAAAAGAGTCCTTGACTCCTATAATTCAGCAGCCCTCCTCTATATATATGACCAATGTTCCAAGAAGGAAACAAAACCATTTACAATAGCCAGGAGTAATATAAAATATTTTGGTGTAATTCTATCCAGTTAAGTGTACGATCTGTATGACAAGGACTTCAAGTCCCTGAAGAAAAAAAAAACAAGAATATATCATAAAATAGAAAAATCTCTCATAATTATATATGGATAGGATTACCATAGTGAAAATGACCATCTTACCAAAAGGAGTGTTCAGATTCAAGACAACCCCCATCAAAATCCCAACACAAATTTTTATAGACCTTGAAAGAGCAACTCTCGACTTCATATGAAAAAAAAAAAACAGCCAGGATAGCCAAAACAATTCTGAACAAACAAAGAACTTCCAGAGGAATCGCCTCTGCTGTACTACAATGATTTCAAGCTGTACTACAGAGAAGTATTATTAAAAACTACATGATACTGGTATAGAAACAGACACAGTGATCAATGAAATGAAATTCAAGTCCCAGACATAAACCAACATGCCTATGGACAATTGAGTTTTGAAAAAGAATCCAAAACCATACAAAGAATTATGGAAGCATCTTCATAAATGGTGCTGCTCTAACTGGCTGTCTACATTTTAGAAGAATACAAATCGATATATATTTATCATCCTACACAAAACTCAAATTCAAGTGGATCAAGGACCTAACATAAAAACAGATACACAAAGAACTCAAGAAATTAGACTCCAGAAAACCAAATAACTCTATTAAAATGGGGTACCTAGCTAAAGAGAGTTCTGACCTATGGAATCTCCAATGGCTGAGAAGCACCTAAAGAAATGTTCAACATCCTTAGTCATCAGGGAAATGAAAGTCAAAATGATCCTGAGCTACTACCTCACACTAATCAGAATGGCTAAGATCAAAAATGCAGGTGACAGTAGATGCTGGCAAGGATGTGGTGCAAGAGGAATACTCATCCATTGCTGGTGGGTCTGCAAGCTGTTAAAATGACTGTAGAAATCAATCTGGCAGTTCCTCAGAAAACTGTAAATAGTTCTACTTGGTGACCCAGTTATACCACTCCTGGGCACATACTCGAAAGATGCTCCACTGTGTTTATAGCAGCCTGATTTATAATAACCAGAATCTGGAAACAATCCAGATGCCCCTTAACAAAATAATGGATACAGAAAATGTGATACATTTACACAATGAAGTACTACTGAACTATTAAAAACAATGACTCCATGATATTCACAGATATCCATTTGCTGAATATCATGGAGTGATATTCAGCAAATGGATGGAATTAGAAAATATCATCCTGAGTAAGGTAACCTAGACTCAAAAGAAGACAAATGGTATGTACTCACTGATGAGTGGGTATTAGCCTAAAATCTCAGACTACCCACAATACAACCCACAGACTACATGGAGCTTAGGAAGAAGGAAGACCAGTGTGTCTTCATTCTTGCTTAGAGGGAGGAACAGGATGATCTCAGGAGGTGAGGGAGGGGGGACTTGAGAGGCAGAAAGGAGGGAGAGGAACAAAAGGGGGCAGAATCAGGTACTGGGGAGCAGGAGAGAGGTACAGAGGGTCAGGAAATCAAATAAAATTATGTAGTAGTGGAGGATGAGGAACAGGGGTAGCTACTGGGGTTCTCAAATGCCAGGGAAGCAAGAGGCTCCTGGGACCTAATCAGGATGACTTTAGCTGAAATAAGCATTGAAGTGGAGACAGAACCTGGAGAGATCACTTATCCAATAGATAGTCACGACCCCACTTGAGGGATGTAGCCACCCTTCCCTCTCAAAGTTTTTAACCCAGAAATGTTCCTGGCCAAAGGAAAGACAGGGACAACTAATGGAACAGAGACAGAAGGAATGGCCATCCAAGTTCAGCCTCACCTGGGGATCCATCTTGTCTGTAGACAGCAAACCCCAACACTGTTACTGTTGCCAAGAGGAGCTTGCTGACAGGCTGTTCTCCCAGAAGCTCTGCCATCACCTGACCAATGCAGATGCTTGGAGCCAACCATCATACTGAGCTTGGGACTCTGCTGGGGGAGCTGCTTGGAAGGACTGGAGGAACAGAGGGATATTGCAACTTCGTAGGAAGAAAAATGTTGTCTGTCTGTATCAGCTAGTGCTCCCAGGGACTAGACCACCAACCATGGAGTATACATGGTTCCAGATACATATGTGTCAGAGGATGGTCTTGCCTGAAATCAATGGTGGTAGGGTCCTTGGTCCTGTGGAGGTTTGATGCCCCAGTGTGGGGGGATGGTGGAGCAGTGGAGTGAGAGTGAGGTAGTAGGTTTGGGAACACCCTCTTAGAGGAAAAGATGAGGGAATGAGGGTAGACGTGGGATGTAGGGGTTGAGGAGGGTAACCAGGAAGGGGTATATAATTTAAGATGTAAATGAGTAGAGTGATTAACAAAACAATAAAAACAGATACAGTAAATCTCATAGAAGAGAAAGTAGGAAATATCATTGAATTCACTGGTATAAGAGACAATTTTCTGAACAGAACCCAAATTTCTCAGGTTGTAATAGTAAAATTTGATAAATGAGATCTCATGAAACTGCAAAGCTTCTGTAAGTCAAGGACACTCTCAATAGAACATATCAGGAGGCTATAGATTGAGAAAACATCTTTGCCCTACAGCTGGCAGAGGGCTAATATCCAAAATTTACAAAGAACTCAAGAAGTTAGACACCAACAACCCAAATATCCCAATTAAAAAATGGTATACAGAACTAAACAGAGAATTCTCAGTGGAGGAATATTGAATGGCCAAGAAACATTTAAAGAAATGTTCAAAGTCCTTACTCATTAGGGAAATACATATGAAAGCAATACCTGAAGTTCTATCATACACCCATCAGAATGGTTAAGATCAATAACACAAAAGAGAGTATATGCTGGCAAGGATGCGGAGCAAGGGGAAAACTTCTTCATTGTTGGTAGGAGTGCAAACTTGTACAATCACTTTAGAAATCAATTTTGTGGTTTATCAGAAAACTGGGAATAGTTCTATCTCAAGAATTAGCTATGCCACTCCTGGGCATATACCCAAATGATGCTCCAACATCCCACAAAGTTACTTGCTCAACTCTTTTCATATCTGCTTTATTTATAATACCCAGGAGGGAGAAACAACCTAGATGTCCATCACCTGAAGAATAGATAAAGAAAATATGGCACATCCATACAATCGAATATAAATTCACCACAAATCTTGCAGGCAAATGGATGGAACTTGAAACATCATCCTGAGTGAAGTAATCCAGTACCAAAAGGACATGCATGATATGTACTGAACTCACTTATAAGAAGATATTAACTGTAAAATACATGTATTATGCAATACTCCACAAACTGAAAAAATCTAAGTAAGGAAGGCACAGGAGTGGAAGCTTGAATTTCACTCAGGGGGGAATAATATAGCCATAATAGGCAGATGGAGGGAAGAAACTGAGTAGAAGAGGGATGAGAGGGTAATGGGAGGATAAGGATCAGCTGTGTGGAAGGACAGAAGATATGGCTAGATGGCCATGAAAATGAATGGAAATTTGCAACAGGATGAGGCAGATACCTGAGATAAGGAAGGTGCCCATGAATCAATGGGGGTTACCTTAGCTGTGACTCACAACTTTGAACTATGGAAGCTGAAGAGGCCACCAGCTGTAGCTAGACAGGAACCCCAGTGAAGCAATTTGGAACACAAACCCACCCACAAAACTTTCAACTGAAATTTATCCTGTCTACAAGGAATGCAGATGGGGGGATGGAGCAGAGACTGAAGGACTGGCCCAACTTCAGACCTATTCCATAGGCTAGCACCAGTCTACTACTACTAATGATAACTCTGTTATGCTTGCAAACAGGAGCATGTTGTTCTGAAAGAGGCTCCACCCAGCAGCTGATTCAGACAGATACAGATACCCACAGCTAAAGAATGGATGGAGCTTGAGGACTCTTATGGAAGAATAGGATGAAGGATTGTGGACCCCAAAGGGGATAGGGACTCTGTAGGAAGATCAATAAAATCAACTTACCTGGACCTTTGGGGTTCTCCGAGTATGACTCACCAAACAAAGAACATACCTGTGCTGTACCTAGGCTTTTCTGCACATATGTAGTAGATGTGCAGCTTGATCTTCATGTAGGTCCTGAACAATTGGAACAGGGGCTATCCCAAATGCTGTTGCCTGTACATGGGGTATGGTCTTCTAGATGGACTGCCATGTCTTGCCTCTGTGAAAGAGGAATTCCCCTAGTCTAAGAGAGACTTGAAATGCCAAGGTGGGGGTGGAGGTTTACCAAGGGAGGGCCCAACCTGGTCAGAAGAGAAGGGAAAGGGGGATGTGGGAAAGATTGTGGGATGGTGTCACTAGGGTTGGGAGGGGGCAGTGAGCAGGATAGAAAATGAATATGTAAAACAAAACAAAATTAAAACAAAAGGAGTGAAGTTAACATCATGTTTTATAGCCTCATGGTCAGCTCAAGTAGCATTTATTGAATAGTGGCTTGTCATATGCTATCTCATTGTAGTTGAAAGTGCTATTATTCTCTTTTATAATTTCACTTATTCAGTCCTTTTGTTTATAGTTACATTTCTGTTGTCCAATATTTAATATTAGCTCATGCCAAGCCTTTTGAACTTTTGATATTGAATCTAAAATGACTATGTGCATGCTCAAATATACTTCAAAACTATTCTGTGATGTCTACAAGATACACCACTCATTTCAAGAACACAAGGTAAAACCATGTTACAGATATTTTAGTAAAACCTGTTACTTGCTATAGACCCTAACACAAAATTCTAGTTTTGATCATAAATCACTATCAAATGCATGATAAACAAATATATCTCTATGAAATAAGTACTCTTAATATAAGAAGAAAACATATTTAATATTTCATTTTCATGATTAATAATTCCAAAAGTTATTTAAGTATATAGTTAATGAATTATTAGTATAGAAAAATATCCCTTCAGTTATGACTAAAGTATAGAGTCTACAAACATATATTTACCCATCATAATCATCATTGATTCCTTCAAATTTTGCTGTTTCACACTGCACAAAAATGATTGGTAGGAAAAGCCCAACTGATACAATAGATACCACGGATATAAATTTCATTTTGGTCTTATTATTCATTTGCAATTTGTCAACAATATAGCCTCCAAAAAAACGACCAACAGTATATGCTGGAAATATAAACATTCCTGAGAAAGGAAAATAAAATTCTATTAAACATAATCTGTTGAGAGTTACAAAAATATTACACATAGATATCATCCCCTGTAGTCTAACACAGATTTTAAAACAAACCAAGAGACAGAAAACAAACCAAGTTATGATATTTGAATAAATTTTATAATATATATTATAATCTAATATATAATATAATATAATATAATATAATATATATTAATCTTATAATACATATTATATTATAATATGTACAACCCTGTCAATGGTTATGGAGATATTATAGGTGTGAAAGAGATGATGTTCTATCCTAAACACTGAGTACCTTAAACAAGGTAGGAACATAGTCCATGCCACATAGAAATTAGGAGTTGCTTACTGAGAAATATTATTACTGTCCCACTTGAATGAATGGCATATATTTAGAGATCTAATTAAAATGATAGGATGACCCGACTCACTGAGATCACTCATAGATGATAAACATGAATATTTTCATAACAATCTGAGACTCTTGAGAGCCCATAATAATGTATGTTTTTTTTCTATTTAAGTGTAAGTATCAGAAAGAGGAAATAACAAGAAGAATATGAGCTGGAGAAAAGCAAAAGAAGAGAAATAGAAAACTAAGTATAATGTAGTAAACTTACATAGTAATATAATACAATCAGCTCCAAATGTAGGTCACTGTATATAAAAGAAACTTAGAGAACAAAATACTAATAACAACACAAACAGTAGATTAAATCATGCCATAATAAATACATACAAATGAAATGTTTAATAAAAATGGAAAAAATGAAAGAATAGAAAGAACTAAAGGTGATGTTTGAGGAAAAACAAATGATCAAAATGTGGATAGTATAATGAAACACAAAATTGGTAAAATAAAAATTCAAGTTCAGGTCCAAGGTCATGTTATATGGAGACTCAGGAATAGCTTTTTCTTTCGTGGACTGGAAACAAAATAATACACATGGAACTTGTCATGGAAGGAAGATTGGATAAGAACTGAAAGTTATCTGCACAGGAAATAAAACCTAGTACATTTCACAGCTGAATAATGACAAGCAATGTGAGAAATTATTCTTGCTCCTCAAATGCAAAAGTTTAAAAGGGTGTGGACTTCCTGTTCCTAGGCAGGACAGTGGCAGTGGAAGACAATTTGTGGCACTGAAGGCTGCATCCTGCAGACAGGAAGGCTGGACACATACCAGGCCTGGAAGCTGAAAGCAAGCTAGCTTCAGAAAAGAAATGAACAGGATGGTCAGTGAAAACTCAGTTACAGAGTTAACTGGAGGGAGGTTCTCTGGCCAGGGGATCAGCCATTCCAATACTATAACTCCTGACATGGTCTCAGACTTCTCACAAAAATCTCAGACTTCTCATGAACGCCTCATTGCATCAGCTGGGTAAGCAGCCATCCCAGACAATGAGAAACTTATAGCTTGGGTGAGAGTCTCTGACTCAACAAACTGACAGGTTTATGCTCACACACACACTGTGGGAGGTGTTCCAGGCATGCCTCCTGTCTTAGATGCTTCCTGTGCCTCAGGTTGCATAAATCTAAAAATCTTCAGAGCAGATGTGTACTCATTCAGCATGGCCATAGACTGCCCAAGTTTACTGTTCAGTGAGAAGAGCTTGCTGTAGCACCAACACTGTCTGCATACTCATTGTACACAGTAACACTCCCTAAGTGAAGATAAGCCTGGAGTAGCTTATGGGGCTAGACAGGGTCTCTGCTCTAGCATCAACATTCATGGGTAGGGCACTGCATACTTAACAACTCTGGAGACTACAGTCAATCTGAGACGGTAGGCACAGCCTGGTTCTGCTTCAATTAATTTATTGACAACTGAGAAGAATTAGAATAATTTGAAAATGCCTTCTATTCTCATCGTATTCACTGAGAATTTTATCGCTAGAAGATCTATAGAGATCTTAGCAAGGAAAATGTTTTCACTTACTTTTATCTCCATCTAATTACATTTTATTATAACAATTTTGTTTCTTTTTATTTTTCATACCTGTATCTCATTTTAATTGTGTTTTCCCTATTATTTTTTAATATTTCTCTCTTTATTTTTTATTTCTATCTTTATTTTAGCCTTTCTTTTGTTCTTTTTTGGGGGGTCTTTTTTATTGGATATTTTATTTATTTACATTTCAAATGTTATCCCCTTTCCTGGTTTCATCTCTGGAAACCCTATCCAATCCTCCTACCCACTGCTTCTATGAGAGTGCTGACCCACTCACCAACCCACTCCCACTTCCCTGCTATGGCATTCCGTTTCTCTGGGGCATTGAGCTTTCTCAGGACCCAGGGCCTCTCCTCCCATTGATTTCAAGACCATTCTTGGCTACGTATGCTGCTGGAGACATGGGTCCCTCTATGTGTACTCTTTGGTTGGTAGTTTAGTTCCTGGGAGTTCTGGGGGTTCTGGTTGGTTGATATTGTTGTTCTTCCTATGGGCTTGCAAACCCCTTTAAAAAATCCTTTTTTTTTAAACTCTTCCATTGAAGACCCTGTGCTCAATCTAATATTGGCTGTGAGTATCCACCTCTGTATCTTCCAGGATCTGGCAGAGCCTCTCAGAAGACATCTAAATCAGATTCCCATGAGCAAGCACTTCTTGGTATCCACAATAATTTATGGGTTTGGTGTCTGTATATGGGATTAAACTCCAGGTGGGGAAGTCCCTGGATGGCTTTTCCTTCAGTCTCTGCTCCATGCTTTGTCTCCATATTTCCTCCTATGAGTATTTTCCCCCTTCTAACGACTGAAACATTCACATTTTGATCTTCCTGCTTCTTGAGCTTAGTGTATACCATGTGTATTCTTCTGTGATTGGGTTACCTCACTCAGGATTATATTTTGTAATTCCGTTAATTTGCCTAAGAATTTCATGAAGTCATTGTTTTTAAGAGCTGAGTAGTACTCCATTGTGTAAATGTACCACATTTTCTGTATCCATTCCTATGTTGAAGGACATATATGTTCTTGTAGCAGGATATTTCTCCTGCTACATTTTATATCAAACTTGGTAATTTGGGAGGAGCTAATGTGGGAGGAGTAAGGAAAGGAAGAGGAGAAGCAAGAGGAGGATCTAAGAGGCAGAGGAGAGATGTAGGAGCCACAGACAAGATGCATGGGTCCAGGATGGTCCTGGATAACGATTTATATCTTAAGGTTATATATTGGGGAACAACTCTAATTGTGTGGACATATTGTTAACTGAGCATTTTTAAATATTTAAAGCCATTGGTTAATAACTAAGCTTTAGAGTCTCATTTCTACCGGGAAAAACATGGATGGTGGGTATTATCTGGGGTTCAGCGAAGCTTTGTAGGGACAGGGTGGTAGATTGGCAGAACCATCTCCCATGCTTGCATCTCGTGAGTTTCAAGTCTAGTGTTTCTGGCTGGCCTCTTTCAGCTGTGATGTGCATGGCTTCAGGCTGCGGAGCATGGAGGCCTGAGCTAGGCAGAGCTGTCACTCAGATGGTCAGATGGTAGGCCTGCAAAGCTTCCTTTTTAAATATCAACCTCAACAGGTTCTTCCCAGCCTCTAGTTATTATAAATAAGACTGCTATGAACATAGTGGAGCATGTGTTCTTGTTATATGTTCGAAAATTTTTGGGGTTTATGTCCAGGAGTGATTTAGCTAGGTTCTCTGGTAGTACTATGTCCAATTTTCTGAAAAACCACCAGACTTATTTCAGAGTACTTGTACCATCTTTTAATCCCATCAACAAGGAAGGAGTGTTCCTCATTCTTCACATCCTCACCAACATCTGTTATCACCTGAGTTTTTGATCTTAGACATTCTGACTGATGTGCAGTGGAATCTCAGTCTAGTTTTGGTTTGCATTTCCCTGATGATTAACAATATTTAACATTTTTTAGGTACTTGGAAGTCATTTGATATTCCTTACTTGAAATTGAAGACTCAGAAATGAACCCTTACACCTATGATAACTTGGTCTTTGACAAAGGATGTAAAACTATTCAGTGGAAAAAAACCCAGCATTTTCAACAAATGGTGCTAGTTCAACTGGAGGTTAGCATGTAGAAGAATGCAAATTGATTCATTCTTATCTCCTTATACAAAGCTCAAGTCCAAGTGGATAAAGGACCTCCACATAAAACCATATACACTAAAACTAGTAGAAGAGAAAGTGGGGAAGAGCATCAAACAAATGGGCACAGGAAAAATTTCCCTGAACAGAACACTAATGATTTATGATCTAAGATCAAGAATCAAAAAATGGGACTTCATAATATTGCAAAACTCCTGTAAGGCAAAGGACACTTTCAATAGGACAAAAAAAAAGCAACCAATAGATTAGGAAAAGATCTTTACCAACCCTACATCTGATAGAGGGCTAATATCCAATATATACAAAGAACTCAATAAGTTAGACTCCAGAGAACCCAATAAACCCATTAATAAATGCAGTGCTTATCAAAGAATTCTTTTGTTCTTTTTTAATTACTTGGATTTTTCATGTGTTCTAGGCAGGTAGTTCCTTCACTGAGTGACATCCAGCTTTTCAATTATCGTTTCTATTTCTCTATATTATTTAAAAATCACTTTTACCTTTCTCACTTCTCTATCCCACATGAACTGCAGATCAACCCAGGGCCCAGTGTATAATGAACTCTTGTGTCCCTGAGCTGTATTTACTGAAGAATTAATTTAGTTTCAGTTATATTATATCTTGCTTGAACCTAGTGGGAATTTTTCCTTAGTGAAAAGAGGAAGGCATATAATCCTACTTATTTATCAGTAGGTAATGGGAGGTGTGGCTGAGGTTAGTTTCAAGGATAAATATTTACAAAGTAGCAATAGAAAGGAAAACATAACTGTAGGCCAGACCAAGTCTACAACTGTGTTCTACTACATTCAAGGCTCTAACACAGCAGGCTGTGTGTGAATTAGGTAAGTCTGGTGATGACTTGTCATTGACACATAGTAAACACTATGATTCTAGATGTTAATATTCATGATAATATACCTGCCATCATTTCATTGACCTTTCAGCACAAATGCAGCAACTATCATAATATCCTTAGATATCTGCAATTCCTAATAGTGCTATCATTCCCATAGGCATCACCATTGAGCATGCATACTACAACTGAGGACACCTACACATCTGCTTGAAATGTCAGAGTTTGCCCATTCTTTCAAGATTTGAAGAATCCTGATGTACTCTGTTCTTGACATGGTAATCTGTGTTGGATAATTGGGATCACAAACAAAAGCTGCATAAAGATACTGTGTTAGAGAGTACGTTTGACATTAAATACAACCTTATGAAAGATGCTCATTATTCCATGTCACACTAACAGAATAATTCAACATGTCATGAAGACTTCCATATAAAATTAAAGAGTTGTCCATGTGAACTCGTGTGGAAGTCTCAATATGAAAAAAATATGAAAGATAGCAACATGTAACACATGAACAGTGTGACTATGTCTTATTTAGGGTTTCTAGTGCTGTGCAGAGACACCATGACCATGGCAACCTCTTTTAAAAGAAAACATTTAACTGGAGATGGCTTATAGTGCCAGAATTCATTATGATCAAGGAAGGAAACATGGAAGCACATAGGTAAACAAGGTGCTGGAAAAGGAGCTGAGATTTCTACATCTGGATCAGCAGGTAGCAGAACTGAAAGTGACTATAGGCCTCACTATTGCTTCTAAGGCCTAAAACTCCTCCAATTAGTGATATATTTTCTCCAGCAAGGCTATACCTACTGAACAAAGCCACACTTCCTAAAAGTATCACTTCTAAGTGCTACACCTCCTAAAAGTGGCTTCTTTGCTTGTTAATATTTGTCTATTTTTTGTTTTGTTTTGTATTTCTTTGTTTTTCTCACATCCTTTATATTCACTCTTACCTTCCTCCCATTGTGTTTTTTAAAGATTAATGCAAATACTCTTTTATCCTCTCATTCTTTACACTAACCATTGTAACATGCCATTGTGATTTTTATAGCATAAAGTTAACTATTATGTTAGTTAAGTTTTGATTAATTCCAGAACTTTTAAATCCTCCATTTACAATGTCTTTCAGAGAGCCAAATTCTCAATATATTTGTAAGATTACAATGTATACAATAGCAACTGCTGTTTAGTGTCAAAACATACAATATCTTTTACAAATATGGATGAAGGGATATCAGTGGAATTAAGCATTATGACAATGTTTACAAGAATTAAGATAAAATATAATTTTATATCTCTTAGTATAATAATAGGCAGATAATTGTTTGTACATAAACAGTGGGTTCTCCTTGGTATAGTGTGTTGGTCTAAAGTTTTTTTATCTTCTAAACCTAAATACTGGTTTCTCAAGATGTGATTGGCCCTGATCAGCAGATACTAAAATACTTCAGTAATGCCATGTGACCCTTCTTCTCAATTTAATAAAAGGCTAGAGGCTGTGATTGGGTAGAGGATGGAGAAAGATGGGATTAGATATTTTAGAGAGGTGGTTGAGAGAGCAGAGAGAGGGAGAGGGAGGGGGAGGGTGAGGGGAGGGGAGGAGGGAGAGGGTGAGGGTGAGGGGTGAGTGGAAGGGGGAGGGCGGGGGGGAGGGAGGGGGAGGAGGGAAGGGAGAGTGAGAGGGAGGAGGAGAG